ACTGTGTCGGTGTGACGTAAAACCCAAATCAAACAAACAAAAAACTCAAGTCATATATAGTCAACACATTTTGTATTTATAATACATTCCGGAATTGTATTCAGTACATGTATAATAACTTCTTAGTTCTTCTAGATCTTTCAGTAAACGTCAAAAGAAATAAAAGTAATACATATATGCAACAAACAAATTAATATATTAACAAGCAAATGTTTGTACATAATTATGTTAGTAATATCATATTCTTGAATGTTTAATATCTTCAATACTCATACGTGGAGAAAATTCAATGTGATGTCACGATAGCAAATATTGCTACGGCACTATATATATCATGTAACATGTAGATCATTTATATTTGTTCAAATAATCATATATACAGAGAAGCATGCATTTAGATATCCTTTCATATAATTTAGTGTCCAACTTTATTCGTCATCCAATGAAAACGCCGCTGTATTTCTGTGCGTTAATTTTCATAGAAGAACAAAAGGCGATACTATATCGAATCCCGTCCATAGTCGACGTCTATTTTTCATAGTACTTCATAGAACCGCATAGTGACGTAATAATGTGAATGATAATGAGTTCAAAGAAAGCTTGACACTAAATATGTTAGTATTCATCCGTGCTGTTCTACAGAAATTAGAAACATTCTCCTGTCGCTATCGCTCCCGTCGAAGTTTCTTATTTCTGTAGAACAGCATGGATGAACACTAACATATACATAATATATTGTAAGTTAAAGTAAAAGAACTTCCAGAATGAACGTAAATTCTTCATCAGCTGCTGTTAAATGTCATCACGATCTATTTCTGGAATGATCAAAAACAAAGAATCCATGACGTGATAATTTCCAATTTCAATTTTGCGGTATTGTTGAGCTTCGTTTTTGGATGTTCTTACAAGTTATAAACTTAAACAATTTCTCATCTGCAGTGTTCAATTCAATTTTATTTCTTTTTGGATCATTGTTTCTTGTTTGATTACTTTTTTAGATATCTGTTTTGGATTATTTGGTACGTTTTGACTCCGTCTAAGACCTGTTGCATGACGTCAATATTTCTCAAAGACAAATCCGTTCCTAGACTTTCTGCAATTAACACGAATGTCGGCATCATTTCTCGAAATTCTTCCACTGAGAGGTATTTACATGTATTGAAAAGAATTACATACAACGAATGTAACAATGTGAGACTTGTTGTAGACAATGTCGCCCCCACAACACTTATCCCTCTTCTTGTAAAGTCACGTCTGACCAATTCGGATCCAATATCCGGAAGAATAAGGGAATCTCCTGCTAAATCTCTATATCTTTTCAGGTAAAACTTCATACATTTGATGTAAGTTGTTAAGCTAACAACTTGATTCAACATGTCAAAAACATCCAATGCAAATTGCAAGTCGCCGTTACAAATGCTAAAACACTCTGGAACCATTGTATCAGGTAAATCAGCGCAACATTCCGGACCCAACACGTCGGACACACTAACACACGTGTATCCTTTACACAGCTCTGTTGTGAAATTGGTTTTATGTTGAATATCTACATATAATCCAAAACAACATAACTGTCTTATGCTAACCCCCCTGACTACGTCGACAGCGAGTCTAACGCCATCTGTATTTAAACTTTTCCCATTTGTTTCTAAAATATCCTCAACGACCATAAGGGCAAGTTGGTAGTTCCCTTCGCAAATTAGATCTTTACAGAACTGTGAGTCCTTCTGAAATGAATTATGTGGAGGCCTGCTTATGTTTTGCCTACTCTGTGAATAATAGCTGATATTCTCAATCATATCTTCAACAAACTTTTCTATTTTTGACGAAAGATCCGTGTACTGATGAAGTAGGAGATACAGTAGAACAAATGGCTGCATTCTTGCACTTTCTAGCTTCTCATAGCATTCGTCAGTTGTTTTCCGAGGAATGGACTCCAGTAAATTCTTTTCAGGCATGAAATAATGTGGAAGATATCGATTTTTCATACTAATTGAAATTTTTTTCAATAGCAGAAATATGCATTCCACTGGCTCTGACTTCCACATTGACATTGTGATATTCTCACAGGCGTAAAAGAAAACGCTTTTGACAACTGAAGCTGGCAGTAAAATGTCTTTCAAAATCATGTCAAGTAGCGTGTTGTATACTAGAAAACACTGCCTTTGTTCAGATGAAAGAATACGGGATATTTCCTTTTCAGCAGCGGCGAATGAGTAACACCATGTATGGTCGTCCACCGACGTCCTGATAACGTCAGGGTCATCAAGTATATCTGACATTCTTGTACATGCTGTCACTGGAATAATATGACAACCCTTTTCTACAATCGATTTTACTGCTTGTTTATCTGGAAACCCGCAGTTTCGTTGACGATACGCCCATTCATTTACAGTATCTGGCCAGGAACATCGGAAAGCTAACACAGAATGCATGTCGATGTTCAGTTGTAACAATCCCGGTGGAAACAGTGTGCTATCGGAGTCATGGCATGTATCATTCGTTTGTAAAAATATGCGTCCCCCAATGGAAGATACTGTTTGTCCGCGCCATAACTTCGGTTCACACGGAGATAGTTTGAGTGACAGCCAGTCATTTGTTGACATCTGTTGTTAGCAACAGATTATGCTTATAGCTATCGTATTTAGAATCTGGTCATTTGTTCACTTATAGTACAGGGTGTCAATGAACGAGAATTCGAAAAAATGATGAAGGCTCCGTGCTTTTTGATCCCTCAAAGTATCTGGATTCTTAGCATAACTTGTCTGTTTGCTTTTATACGGGACCATTTTGCAAATGAATGATCCAAAACCCTCAGTGCGATATCCATTCTCCTCAGTGAGAAGCTGTGACAAGCTGTCCGCAATAGGTGGTAAAAAAGATTGTATAAGGTTATTCTTGATCATGTATCGCAATAGAATATTAAAGCGCTGCACGGGAAACTGTATCATAAATTTATCTCCAAGTGCTGTCTTTCTCATTATTTCTCCTTTCTGCAAACCTTCAATGAATAGAATGGCATCGCATTATTAGACACGTCAAATCAAACGTTTCTAAAGTTAAAAATGCTTAACTCAAACTTTGCATTTGTACATGTCAGGTTAGAATTAGATAAAATTTATCGCAAGTTTTAAATTATCGCGGGTTTTAAAAAAAAATAAAACGTTTGTATTGAAAACATGTCCTATACCATTCAGCAGGGTTTGTTGCCAATTCTTTGGTCGTAGACTAATGTAATGACTTTCACTAACATGACCAACAAAGATGGGGTTATATTCGTTTGTCTTCTCTTGTCCTGAAGACGAAACCTCATGTGTCCCTGTAAGTTTAAGATAATTCAATTATACATTTCCGAATCATTAGGGTTGTATATAAAATGGTTATGGATGACATGAGAGTTATTTTTTCTGGTCCTTAGGGATCATTGATTCCAGCACTTTAAAGTGTTGAAAATTGAGTACCGTTTAAGCCGGGGGCGTAAGGCACCTTTTCATTATCCCTCGTGTACAGATCCAATCGAACCGAGTCTGCAATTTTCATGTTATTTTTGCTAATTTTGATGCTTCCGAGAGGTCACTTTTTCAGATATTTACACGTTAAGTATCAATTAAAGTGAATTCATCCACGTGTTGTTATATGAATGGAAAACTGAAGGATATTACAAGAAATCATTGTAAAGGTTGGTATACAAAACGTGTGACGAACAACAACAACAGCATAATAGCTTTTGTACAGCATTACACTTTTATTCGCTATAAAGATTTATTCTTTATCATTGTCTACATGTACATACATATTAAACATACGTACACAAACAAAACAACGAAAATCCGTTCTTATTGAATTATGAGGTTGTTTTCCGATTGGTCTTTTTACAAGAAACTTCATTCATATTTGTCTGAGCGATCATATTATTTCATAATGTCAACGAAATTCAGGTTTGTTGTATCATTATATCAAAGTTTCATCATTGAAACACATCATAGTCCTTATTTGAATCTTATATAAAGATCTGAAATAGTTGTATTCCCTCGGAAGCAAATAAAACATCCATATAATATGAAAACTGCAGACTCGGTTTGATTGAAGCTGTACAAGAGAGATAATGTTTAAGGGCAACATCTCTCGCGGCTTAAGCGGCATTCAATGATCCCACAGGACAAAGGCGATATATTAATCGTGATAAACTCAATTATAAAAGAACGACGGCATGAGATATTTCATAAAGAAGATCATATAATAGATCTAATAAATACAAACTTGTTTGGGATTTTGGATATAAAACGGTTTCTCTGTCGCCTGTAGCTCCTCCAAAAATGACTATTTGCTCATCAACAACATTTGCCAAAGCTCTGAAAACGATACATGGTTGTAAAACTATACTTATTTCATATGTATAAATATTTCAGTGTTTCTATATTATTTCAACAACATCATGAGCGATTAGTTAAGATAGGAAACAGACAATTTTATGTCTAACTTCGCCTGTTCTCTCTGCTGATTTCTACTGGGGAAAATTTTGCCAGTGCTTACAGTAAAATGTTTGGTAGTCATGGTACCAGTATACGTCATCAGTTGGCACATGTAACTATGTTAATGCTTTACCATACTTGACTGGAAGTTTGTCTATGTTTTTTTATTGTTGTTTCTGCTTTTCTCTCTTGTATTATTGTATGATGTAATAGCATGACACAGTGATTCGAATATTTACCCTAGAATGATATGATCCCCCCATTCACCGTCCACACTGATACGGAGTAGGTAGCTCTCCCAGTTTTCTCCATCGCTAAGGAACATCGATTAAAGAGGTTCCATCGTCCTTTAATCGAATGAAAATCTTAAAATATTGACCCCACATTCACATAATTCAAATATTTACCCTAGAATGATATGATCCCCCCATTCACCGTCCACACTGATACGGAGCAGGTAGCTCTCCCAGTTTTCTCCATCGCTAAGGAACATCGAATAAAGAGGTTCCATCGTCCTTTAATCGAATGAAAATCTTAAAATATTGACCCCACATTCACATAATTCAAATATTTACCCTAGAATGATATGATCCCCCCATTCACCGTCCACACTGATACGGAGCAGGTAGCTCTCCCAGTTTTCTCCATCGCTAAGGAACATCGATAAAGAGGTTCCATCCTCCTTAAATCAAATGTGAAAATATTGACCTGACATTCAAACATTATCTATAAACTAACTTTTGGACACTTTCTGCATTTTGCATTAAACCTTCAACAGAGAACGGCACAATTTTTACATCATGTTATATAATCAAAATGTATGCAGACTCGGTTTAAGCTTGAGTACATCTCAAGTTACCATACATTAAAATTCCTGTTACGGGTTTAAGGAAACGTTTAGTTTCTAAAGACTAAACTAACTTACTCATTTATAGTCGTATAAAATTTTGCCGGAAGATTTATATAATTTTCGTCCGTTTGAAATACATGTACATAATATCCTGTTGATTTAAACGTAAAGTAGAGTAAATTTAAGTTTTTTATCGAGCGGTATGAAAATAAATATTTCATGAGTGGCGGTACCACGAGTCAAATATGATAATTTTCATAGCACAAGAAAAAAACCCTTAAATTTTCTGTTTATTATATACATTTTTTCTCTCTCTTTTTCACATTAGAATTTGAAAGACTACCCCTTAAATTTTGTGTTTTGACTAAATTTAGAAGAAAGTAGTCCGGCAAGACACCTATGAAAATATGGAAAATATGTTTCATTGCAGTGAAAAATATTTTTTTACAGTGAAAATACCGAAAAACGAAAATACGCATCATCAATATTTCTCAATATTTCATATATAAGTATATATATAACTACCATGTATATACAGAATACACTCTCAATTTCTAGCATACAATATCATGATTTTGATAAGTAATTTAGCTTGACTTGTACGTACTGTTGCTGGATACCTCCTCAGATAGTTCACAGCAGACTGCCTAAGTGTCTGTGGTGTGAAACTAAAGTCACCCTGGACACGGAGTTGATCAACAATAGCAGAGAACAAACAATTACCGTCCGGATACACATCATGTGGAACTAAACCTTTATCTTCGATCTTATTTCTCATCTGATGTATCAAGCTTTCAAATAACGTAGGTGTTTGAAATTTGTCACCAGGCGCTTGATAAATATACATGTATAATGGTAAAAAATATCACTTACAAAGTAACACAAACATTAATTTCGGAGAGAAAACTTATATCTCAGCTATGTCAATCTAAATTCTTACATAAAAACTGGGCAGATAGGTATACATATCAGCAAAGATAGATTCTCGTGACCTCGTGGTGTCGCACGTTTTTTAATTATGTGTGACTCGGGGCGCATATGTGTGACTCGTGCAATGTCGACCCTAATCTCTTGGATCGAGGTCACGTGTATGGAAGTTTTAACACTTGGCACGTTAAAGAATCAGGAAAAGCTTCTGGCATCCGTGCATCTTTCTGTATCCTGCACTGTCCTCAAAATCTAAAGTGACTAATACTCTTCTGGAGGACTCGCCCATATGGGCAACCGGTGGCAAGTATAAATAAACTACACACGACGGCTCCAGTACAAAACATAACAGAGCATGACACAAAGTAAGTGGTTTCTTTATACGAACCGCAGATAACGGCACGCGGAATAACAGTTTAAGATGTGTAGTTTTATACTAGAATAGCGCTAATGCACCTTTTTTTCCCCGACATAAGCTCAACCGCAGCCTCGGGTTCAAATGCGTCCTTCTGCTAATGAAATATTACTTAAACAAAATGTAAAAATGCTGAGAAAACAACCCTATATTGGGATAAAATCGACGAATACAAAAATAATTTAATTAAAATAAGGAATCAATTTTCGAAGCAGTGTCAACTTTTGGATCAACTGTAAAGTGCCGAAAATATACCAATCTATCACGTTCTTAAAACTTTATTCAAAATAGATATTTATATCGAGCTGTGCATAAAAATATGAGTGGTATAATAAGTTATATTTTTCCTTTGTGTTTTAAAACGTTATGCATTTACCATGCAACAACTTAAGTGGTTTGTCCAAATCAATACCTACATTAGTGTAAGAATATATTTATATTCCATGTTAAAAATCATTGTGAAGTGCATCACCATTGTGTTTCTAATAAGAGTTTTCATCTTTTTTTCACTTATCTATTAAGGCAATTAATTTTAATTCTACCTAACAATTCTATTAATCTTTCTTTTATTAAGTCATATCCAAAGCAGGCACATCTTAATAAAATACAGGACAGGACTGCTAATACAAATGTCCAACTGGTACGTAATTGAGCCGCTTACGACAAAACCAACATAGTGCGTTTGCGACCAGCATGGATCCAGACCAGCCTGCGCATCCGCCCAGTCTGATCAGGATCCATGCTGTTCGCTTACCAACTCTATTACAAGTACAGAAACTGATAGCGAACAGCATGGATCCTGATCAGACTGCGCGGATGCGCAGGCTGGTCTGGATCCATGCTGGTCGCAGACGCACTATGTTGGTTTTGTCGTGACGCGGCTCATATATACAATTGTTTCATAAGCAGTCTCTCATAAGAAAGTTTCTATGGTAACAACGAAAATAGTTAGGTTGTGAAAAAAAAGATAAGTTATATTTAACAAAAGTTAATCAGCCAGATCAAATATAATCATATATATATCGCACTTTAATTAGTTGTATAGCATACTCTAAAACAAACACTATAGTATTGCTCTAATTTGTCAAATATTACTTACCGTGTTTCGTCCAAAATGGTTTTCTATACTTTTTTAGGAAACCTCGTTGGTTTTTATATTCTTCTTGTATAGACTTTTTCACCGGAAGTACACATAATAAATCCTGTTCTTCTAGCGTCCATCCAGCTGTTAGACAGTCTCGTCCTATCTCAGTTTGTATAGTTGTATCAACAGTTTCATTGACTTCATTTGTTAATTCTTCCATCATCTCATTCTTCCCATCTTCTGTATCACCTTTTTCCTCTTCCCCGACACATTTATTATGCTTTGATGTTAATGAAATTGTTTTATTTTCCATCTTTATTCCCCTAAAACTAGTTTCTTTAGATCATACCTTAATAAAAAATACGAATGTCTTCATGTTGGCTTCTAAAATGAGACTGTCTGAATGAACAAGTGGATTCTATCTTTAACAATTGATTCATTCTCAAAAGAACTTTCCTTAGTTAATAGATATTACTTGATTATGCCCTTATAGCTTTTATCTTCCTCAAAATAGTTATGTCTTAAGTTCATCTCATTTACCGCCATTTAACTAGGAAGTTAACTAACTACAGCCAGTTTCTGCGTTATTTTATATGAAGTGGTACTTTATAACATTAGTAATTGCTCGACTTCAAATTCGTAACTTTATCCTCTGTTGAAATCCCTGTAGTAGTGATAATATTAACTGATGAAAAAACGTTCAAATAAATTTCCTTTTATTAAAATTTTACATATGAACTGTAAAAAAAATATTCTTGTTAGATTCAGTCAAACCCCGTCAGTCATTAGAAGGGCGGTTGGATCATCATTATGGTCAGGGACCACAGTTTTGAAAAATTAAATGACGCGGAAATTACAGACGTGAAAAGAATAAAAGAAAATTAAAAACATAAATCAATGTCGAGGTAAATATTTCCGACTAAATTTTCAACGATTTTATGAAAGTTTCGATAGAAAATTAACATCATAAAGCCGGTTTTATCATAAGGAAATGATATGATAACTGAACAATTTGTAAAATGTAAATTGCAGAATATATTATTAGTTATAAATATTTTGACAGGTTATATGGTCCTATATAAACGGTTATTTGGAAATATATCCCAAGCTGCTAGACGATCGTTATATAGCCAACAACCGTTTATATACGACCATTTAACCTGTCAGAAATACTTATAACGAATTTATAATACAGTAACCATTTTTTATTTTTATTTTTCAAAGTGAGATTTCTTCAAAACAGCAGCAAATGAAAAGAACCGTAACAAACGTGCCACGTTATAAGGATTTTTATATCTTAACCAATAAATTACCGAATATACATCACAAGTTGAAATTTGCGTGTTGTGTTACCATTATTAATGTGCTTTTATTTTTCCACACCAGTTTTTTCGATAAAATCCTTCAGAATAACTCCCATTGTCGTTTCTGGCTTTTTCCCCTTTTTATGCGGTTGATGAGCTATTCATCTTAATTCTAAGATTTCACATTTGCTTGCGGAACTTTATCATTGCGTGGTTTGATCAATCGTGATTTTAAATAGCCTGATATACAAATGCACTTCTCAATTTAATACAAGATTGATGTTTAACTTTTGAAGACTATGTTCAAGTTGTTCAACAATGTCCATTTGTATGATTTTCAGGATGTCTGTAACTTGTGTATGTCCAGTATTATTCAACAACAAGTCTCTGCAAAATATATCATTTATAAAGACTAGAATAACTGTTCATTAATCATATGAAAGCCATTGTTTACATGTATGATAGTGCTATAAAATCTCCCCATAAAAATCTAGATGTAATTGCTGGTAGGTAGGACTCACTTGGGAAAAAAACTGAATGTATCTTGTTTGCAACTAAATGAAAATTAAAGAAAGTTAGGTTTTTAGTTGGGATGTAGTCCCAACTAGTGTGCTTACAAACCCGAAATTTCCAACCATACAGGGTAACCCCCACTGCAGTGACGTTTCATCACCACTATATATGCTATATTGTATTCTAACATTTTTCATGGAAGTTGAATTGATAGTAATCATCCGACCATGACCGACGCATAACCGCCATAAGTGAAAAATAGTGCTCTGTATTTCTGAAAACTTTGATTTATTGCGAGTAGAAGAGGAGATAAGAAATTTATTTTTTGAAAATCATGTGCAATTAAGCTTGAATTACGGTATTAGAAATGTAGCGGATATAATTTAAAAGATCGAGTAATTCTATCAATGGAGATAGTAATTGGTTCACTCATAGCATATTCTTTACTGATGAATGAAGGCTCGCAATATTCGACTGACTCATCCGTACCTTATCATCACATTTTTTGTGTGATATTCCAGAAATTTTTGAAAAAGACAATTTTGATCGAATATATTTTGTAGTTTATAATTGCAAAGTGAATATTGAAATAGAAATAGCCAGAGATGTAGATGAAATATTTTAGCCTATACTGTACACAGTAGATGAATCCGACAACTTCCAGTTTACTTTATGACCTACTTGACAATCATATCAGCCTGTTTAGCCATAAGGTAAGTTTTAAAGCAAAATATGTTATGCATGGATGAATAATAATAGTTTATTTATTTATGTCAATTCGTTACCGAACCTAAAACTTTCGTTAATAATTTGGAAGTAATTTGAGAGATCTCGAGTCTTTCGTCACCAAGACATTTCGACCCTACTGTAGCCTAGTGTCAATTTTTGGACTGCAAAACCGACAGATTTTACAAATTGATATTACACAGATGTCTGCCTTTACAGAAAAAACCGGCATATACGCCTACAATTTGTTGATCTTGTTCATACATTTTTATGTTTATGTTTATACATTAAGTTATTCAATGAATAATGGGATTCTATGAAAGATTAGAAAAAATGATTTAACCCTCAATATAAGCCATTTAGCTATTAAGTTTAGCCCCTGCAAATACTGCAGGTCTTGTGTAATTGAGACATTAGAGGTAGAAGCACTGTCCTATTATTTCTGACTAAACTCTTATTGTTATTCAATGAATAATGGGATTCTATGAAAGATTAGAAAAAAATGATTTAACCCTCAATATAAGCCATTTAGCTGTTAAGTTTAGCCCCTGCAAATACTGCAGGTCTTGTGTAATTGAGACATTAGAGGTAGAAGCACTGTCCTATTATTTCTGACTAAACTCTTATTGATTGCTAATTGATTCTTCATAACCACAAATGACAAACGAGCATTATTGTCATTTTTTACTTTACCCTCAACACCTTGTGTTTCTCCCTTTTAGAGCCGAATAAAAGCTGTTTAACCTAGCCCAAAAAGGTATATTTTCTCCTGAAAATGCTTATATTTCCCCTTAACCTGTGCACATCTGACTTATATCAGCTAGAGGACAGAAAGCTGTCCCTATCGATAGCCTCTGCTATTACCATGCATGTATAGCTTTATTTCTGCTGCACTTTTATAGTTTGAAAAACAACAAACAAACAACAAGAAACAGATACTCATCTGCCAATTACCTGATCGTGCTGCTTTTACTCCGTTTTTTCCCCCAATTAATCTAGTTGTAGTGATTAAGTATTTTATTACGTCTATGACAAATAATTTCACATTTGTCGCTACTTTCTTCATGTAACAAGAATATAACCTACTCAAAAACAATTATTTAAATTTTGTGAAACTCGGGTCTGCCCTTTCTAGAGGAGTAAAATATCATTTCTGAGGCATAAGGTGCCTTAAAAGATAATGAAACTTTCAACAAGGGACAAACATGGCATTTAATTTAAGTATTTTATTAAATGTAAACGGTAGAGAAAAGCTGTATGGTTTTAGTGAATATGATGTAATTATCACTAAGAAATTCATTTTTAATAATATCATATCTTTCTTATTTGATATAATATCGCAAATTAAAACAGGAATCAAAGATTCTATATTTCTCTCAGTTTTAAACATTGTGATACGACTTATATCTCACTGACATATTTTAATTTTGCAATAAAAACTGATGATGCAGCAAAACATTTTTACAGTTTAGTAACGACTTGACAGATACACTGTAACATTGTATCCACGATCGATGGTAAAATTTAAACCAGTATAAATTTATACGACTTGTATAAATACAGCGTCACACAAGAAAATACTGCTTATCTACATGTAAAACAGAAATCAGCGATTTATGAAATCCAGTCAAGATATTAAAACCCAATCAACACAATATTTATGTATATATCCATTGTATCCGTGCATAATTATTTCACATTAACTGAAAGAAAATTTTGAAGAAGAATACAATACATGTATCTCTATAAACAAATTAAAATTGTTAGTTAAATTTAGTTTGGTAAGAATAGTTTTAAACTAGTTATTCCATTGAGGAAGAATAATTTCAAATTGTAAATCTTATGTGAAGCTAGCTAAATTGGATATGAAATATTTCAAAATGCAGGATAAAGCTAATTTGACCGCGATTTATTTGACAATCCAGGTTTTATTTCGAAACGTTTTATCTGACATATTTACAAGTTTCTAAATTTAGAACAAAATCAATACCTCTGATAACTTATTACGTATGTGTATTTCAAAATTTGTAAATTTTCGAATAAAAAGGGTGCGAATAGATAAATATTAGAAACAGTTTTGTGAAATTTATCAATTTTAAGTTACACTACTATGGGATTTAGATTTTTCTCTATAAAGTTGATTGTTTTTATAACTATATTTGCCGTTTTATTACAAGGTACGTTAAATGTTTTATTTATTAAAATCTTCTTCTTTTTTTTTTTTTCAAAATAAATATTTTCATTTTTGATATAGATCTATGTAAAATTCTGACAAATCTTCGAATTAGTACTATATGAAATAAACCTTTAACTTTTCTAAGTGAATAAACCGATGAATGTAAGATTTATGGAAATAACTCATTTAAAAAGATATTTAAGAGAAATGACTTTGTAAACTATCATTTTTATAGCTTTCTCCCCAATACCAAAATTTATTTAGTAAATATTGTTCACATGTTAAATGTTATGTTGAATAAGATATGTTTAAACCAAACTTTCATTTATCTAGATTATCAAGCTGAATGTAGAGGTGGTGGGCGTGGCGGTGGGCGTGGTGGTAGATATAGGGGCGGGAGAGCAGGAGGTTCAAGTGGGTACGTATTAGATTTACTAATGCCGAACAGTTTATTGAAACGCTGGGCCTCTTAGTGGCATCAGTCACATAGAAAACAAAATATACTTATGTACTAGATGACAAATGTAAATCAAAAACAAAAGTGTTTCATTATGAAAATAAGCTTAGCTATCATTTACTTAATTGATCATATATATATATACAGATAGTAGTATATTGATAAAAGTTGCAGTATTCTGTAAGAAATATATATAAATATATATTTCTTACAGAATACTGCAACTTTTAACAATAAACGCCTATCTTTGCTATACATTTACACAGAAAAATTCATTGAATTGGCATTAGTAATACACTCTCTAGTAATATATTTTCTTATATCATTGTACAGGCTTTTGGACATAGTTCAAAATGGAAAATGTTCCCGCTTTTATTTTGGTAATTAAAGGGATAAAAAAACAAACACACAAAAAACATATCCTAAAAGTGTCTAATGTATTTAAATTAACAAGTCCAACCAGTGAAAAAATGTGGAA